TTGAATCTTGATGATTGTGATAGGATTATTCCCTAACAACTTTGTTATTGACTTTGTTCAAGGTACTTGCTTTTGTCATTTAATTTCCTTAATTAGTAGCGCTAGTTTGAATTCCTAAATCGCAAACCAAATTGATTATTGCTTTAAACAAGTTGAGAAGAAATTAATAGGTGGCTAAATAATTCATTCCTCGTGGGAACGATTTTGAACTCTCTACTATATTACTTGCACGACTCCGTACTCTTGCGGATAGTTGACAACTAGATCAAAGTAAATCTGCAAAAACTGGATCAGAGTAAATCTGTGAAAACTGGATCGGGGTAAATCTATGAAAACTAAATCAGGGTAAATCTATGAAAACTGGATGAGAGTAACTCTGCGAAAACTGTAACAAAGTAAATCTGCAAAGAATTGGATTAAAGTAAATTTGCGAAAACTAGATCAGAGTAAATATTCAAAAACTAGATCAAAGTAAATATCGGATGAACTGGATCAAAGTAAATCTGCAAAAAACTGGACTAGAGTAAATCTGCGAAACTAGGTCAAAGTAAGTCTGTGAAAACTAGCTCAGTGTAAATCTGCGAAAACTAGAGTGTCGAGATTCGTGTTAAACGAAAAAGAGAATGCCAAAGACACTCACCTAACACTTAGTAACCGGGTCTTTTCACCTAAGGCAAGTGTCGAGATTCGCGTCAAACGGTGGAAGGTAGAATTATATATATATATATAAGTGTGCATATCAAGTTCAGGAGTAGAAATCCACTGTTAGAAATGATAAGAATACATGTCTGATTTTAAAAATCAATCTCAGGTTATCAAGACAATCTGCAAATAGAAGGATAAATAAGAATTTTAAGCCAAGTTTCTGTAATATTCAAAGTAAGACAGTTTTACCCCTTAAGCCCAACACCAATCTATACAGAGTTTGAGGATGCTGGAATCAGAGTGCTTAACTAATTTTGTCAGGGAGGATCTTGAGATGGGAAAGATCTCTATGATCAGTGTAATTTTAAGGTTGCATTGCTAAGGGACTAGTAATGTTTAAGTTGGGGGGTGTGATAACTCTACATTTTGATGCCTTAAGAGCACCAATTCAAGGGTATTTTCGGCCTTAGAAT